CCCGCCACCTTAGGTGTACGTGGCTGGCGCCTTAGCCGGTTGAGCTATAGGCGCCGAGCCCATCCCTCTCATCTTAAGATGCTTTCTACAAAAGTAGGAAGCCTGGCAGCCTGGCCCTCAAGATGCCTTTGATGGTCAGAGAAGAGATGAAGTCCACACCCAAAATCCTTAGACTTTCTGCCTGCTTAGTCTCTTAGAATGCTGCTTCCCTGTATGTTAGCAGAGCTAACTTCCACCCCACAGAGCTAACGTGAAGGAAAACTCAGAGCCAAGATAAAACACTAACTATAGTTGGGACATGTAGGATGGAGCTATTATGCTTAGGCTTAAATCAAGGCCATGAAAAGCAAGGCCCAGGAGGAGAGGGCAACAGAGATGAGTGAGCCATCAAATCCTCAGGGCAAACTCCCTATGTTAGCCTCCATGTCAGCAGTCTGAGGGGACTTGCATTAGCCTTGTGTAAGTGTACAGAGTCTTTTTAGTGCCAGCCACTCTGCCAGGCGCTTTACATGTGTATTACTTCTAGCCCTTCATAACAACCTTCTGCAGTCCAAAAAAAAAAAAAACTGAGGTTAAGTAGATTGCCTTATGTCACCAGCAGTGAGTGGTAATGTGAGATTCAGACTCAGGTCTGCGTCTGAGATGTCCACTCAGCCACACTGCCTATAGTCCTGCCTTCTCTGAGAGAACTGGCATGTCACCTGTTCCCACCCTACCTATCCTTCCCAGCATTCTGTGTTCTAAGCTGCTCTCTGCCCACTGGCAAGGCGTTCCACCCTCATGTAGGCAATAATGGCACAAGGCACATGTGTCCACTTGTCACTTCTTCTGAAAACTCACTACCAGTAGCTGTGGTGATCGGGAGACCTCTTTAAGTTCTAAGTGCCAATTTATCAAAAATCACTCAGAGACATGTCTATGATCTAATTTACAGTTAAGTAGCTCTGACTCTGAGGCTCTGACTGCAAGTCTCTTAGGTGGCTAAGGACACACCTGTGTAGGCTCAAGCAAGCCACCCGGCCAGGGATGATGAGAGATGTCCCTTGCTGTGCCCAAGTCTCACCTTGTGCCACGTCTTTTCTTCCATAATCCCCTCAGCGGCCTATCAGCTTGTCAAGTTCTCTGCAAGGACTGTTATGTACAAGGGCTTGGACTGAACAAGCAACAGATGCTAAACTCAATGCTTTCATATCCTGACACTGTGAGGGAAAACGATCAACCACAAAAATATTTCATATTTCCTAAGAAATGTTTTTGTGTTCTATTCTGGAACTTTGTGCTCTGTAGCACAAATTTTCTTGAAAGGCCCAGAAACCTGAGGCAGAACTTGGCTGAGCAAGAGATAGGGGTGACACCAAGAAGCTGCTCTACCACATTTAGGGGCCCCTAGAGAATTCTCCTCAAATAACAACCTCTGCTCAGACCAATGCTCAATGAGGGAACACCGTTTTTCCACTGGGCTGCCAAGCGATCCAGCTTGTATATGCCCAAGAAGAGACAATGGGTAGAGGGAGCCTTGGCATTTGCATATACTTAACACAGTGAGGAACGAACTAGACCCAGCTGGAATTTAGGTGTGATTTGGAGGAGGCGTAGAATACGCCACAAAGCCTAAATATGCCTAAATAGAATGCTTTAGGTGGTAGAGAACTGGATGTGTTTAATGCAAGGTGTAACATGACACATTTGAATTTGAACAGAGGACCCAGGTAGCAGCATGGGTAAGGGACAGAAGGATTTCTGACCCATCAGAACCTGCTACTGTGAAGGACAAAGAAGCCTGACCCAGGGCAGGAACAGTTTAGGAGGAAAGGAAGTAGAGAAAATGCTGACAGGATCTCCCTAGCAAGTGGATGGGGGGAGGGATGGAGATGAACTGGGGGCACTGCCAGGTCTCTGCTCTGGGAACTGGATGAGAGAAGGTGCCATTTCTGAGGCAGAATAAGAAAGCTAAAGAGCTTGTGGCTGAAGTACTGAGGGACACCCAGACTGATGTCATGGCAATGACTGCTGTACTGCCCTCTTCTACAGTTATAGGATACCAAGAGTTCACCCAGGACCTCTTGGAATAAAGAGTCTCCTTTGCAGTGAGGTGTGGCCCTGGGTCTAGGTTCTAGACAATGGAAGTAGGTGAAGGTGGTGTGTACTACTTCTAGCTGGGATACAGACGTGACGGTTACAGTTGGATCTGTGTTGAACCACACAAGTATAAGCCACATGTGAAGGATGGCAGAACCACAAGACAGAAGAAATCTGAGAGAAGTGCATAGAAGTGTCCCATCCACCTGCATTTACGCTTCTATCTTGTTTAAGCTGCTGTTACTTTGCCTTTTGTCTTTCATGGCCAAAAGCAATCAACCAATGCAGATGCCCAGGAGGGTGTGGGGCTGAGGAAGGATTTAGCAGTCATCAACATAAACAAAGGCCTCCTGGATGAGGATTAGGCTTCTGATTGCTTTATCTGGAGGGAGATCAAACACAGAAGCCCTTCTGTGTCCTCACAGCCCATGGCAGGTAAGGGACAGACAACTTTCCACTTCCTCTGTCCCTGTGCCAAGTTTGGAGTGCTCCTGGGGCCAGAGCTGTTGGCTACATGGTCACACAGGGATGCCAGGGCACATTCTGGGTGAAGGGGGAGGCTAGAGGGTGGATGTAAGGATACTGCCTTTCTAAAACAGTAAATTATAAACAGGGAAATAATTTAATCACTACACAAATGTTACCCTGGAACTTCCTCGGTAGAGACGGCAAAGCTGATCAAATGCTTGGATTTGCTGTGGATCCAGAATGGGTTCGGAGGATACCTGAGAAGTCAAAAACAGTAAGATTAATAATACCATGTGGCTGGGTCCACAGGCAGCCTCTGAACTTGCCCTGTGCTTATGATGAAGTAGGACATGGTGCTTTCCTCATTCTTCTGAAGAAAATCCATGCCACCAGCAATTAATGAAAGATACACTGCATGTTTATTAGAAATGGGCATGTCTCTCTAAAGTCCTTCCTGCATGCTGCCCCTCTGCCCCTAGGTTGACCTGTCTACGGACTCCTTCCCCAATGTGCTCTCTAAATTTCCCATTCCTTGTTTTTTGTTTTTTTTTTTAAAGCTTCCCATTCTTATGTGCTTCCTTGAGGTCTTCTTGATCTCTCATTGCCATTACTCTGCGAGCAATATAATTCCATCTGCATTTCCATATCCTTCCCTTAATATGGCCAGCAAAGACACCCCTCTGCTGGCCATATGGTAGGGTATGCATTATAAATGAAAGATCTCATCACTTCTCCGTCTCATTATAAAGTTGGTGCCACCTATGGGGTCACAAGATTAGTCTGCTGATTTCTGGAAGAGCTAGGAAGTCCAACTTGCTCTTATTTTGCTAGACTAGCAGTTTTGTTTCATTCCACCTGTTACTGTGGTAGAGCATGTGATACTGCGGTTCTTGTCTCAGTGGGTCTGATCTAATTCACACCTAGAGAGAAGAAATGGGAAGATGTAGCCATAGGTTTCGGAGTCAGAGGTGAATCTGATATTACCTTGCTGTGTGACTTTAGGCAAGTCACTTCATTTCTCTGAGCCTCAACTGCCTCACCTGTGACAGGGGTAATGCTTACCTTATGGGGTTACTGAAAAGATGAGATACATATTTAAAGTGTCTTTATCCTGTCTGGCACCAAGCAAGGGCTCAGTATATGCTAGCTTTCAGTAATCCAACTTAGAGATACCCTTAATTAAATGGTGATTTCAGAAGTGTTTTCATGTTTATATGTAAGACTAGTAAGAGGATGTCTTTCCTTGCTGTTATGAACCTGCATGCCACGAACGAAAGGATTACTGAACATAACCCCCATGTATATCTGACAAGAGGGTCTCAGTGACGAAGGGTTGGGTGTGGACATGTGCACATGTCTACATGGGCTGGATGAGGCCTGTGGGGCTTAGGGGCTGAAGACAGGCTCTGGGCACAGGTACGTCCCTGCAGGTGTAGCTACTAGAGCTCATGAAAACCACTGTCTGTGACAGGATGACAGAGTGGATGCACGGAGGAGGTGCAGGGCCAGTAATGTCACTGATAATAGCCCCGCGGGGTCAGCATTTACCATGTGCCACGCCCTGTGTGCCAAGTGTCTTCTGAGGTCACCTCACTAGATCTTCAAAACCACTCTATAAGAAAGGTGTGGTCATGTCCACTTTTTCTCAGGGGGAGCGTGCAGGGGTGGCACTAAACCTGGGCTTGCTGTGACTGCATTCCTCCTGTAGGCTGTTAAACTTCCTTGGAGATGCCAAGAGAAGGGGCAATGACATCCTTCAGAAAATGAAAAATTCTGTGGGTATGAAATACTAGAGATAATGGGCTCTTCCTGTAACACATGCCATTGCCCTGGGCACCCAGAGATGGACCCCAGGAACAACTGCTGGGACTGCCTGGGACCCTCTGGGGCAAAGTCACTTCAGGGCCAAGATACCCCACTCCTGGCTGGAGCTTGACACATCTCTGCAGCAAAGTGTCTGCCGACAAGTCACTTGAGGTGAAATGACAGAGCTATTTGTAGGCACACCTAGCAGAGGCTCACCTGCCTTAAAAATCCTTCCTGGAATAAAACAGAGTATTTTTAAACAGGAAGCCCTCAGGGGGTGACGAATAAGTCACTGAGGTGAAGACTTCTCAGGGTTCTGCCAAGCTGGGGTAGGGGCAGCAGTGTGGGGAAGGCAGGGCCCTTTGCACGGCGCTGAGTTCCAGAAGGCCCGTCTAGCTGGTCTGTGCCAGATGACATGCAGGCTTCCGGCACGCTCACTCTCACTCTGTCACCTTCATGCCTCATCAACTGGGCCTCAGTTCTGTGGTTCAAGAGACATTTCTGGAGCCCCTACGATATCAGGCCCTGGGGTACAAAGATGAATAAGCCCAGAGCAGTTGAATGACTTGCACATTAAAACCCACAGGATTTCACCTTCTCTAGTGCCGAGAAGCAAAACCTGAGGTGACTGGTCACTGAGGCATCGTGACCACACAGTATGTCCTTATCAGGACAGGCCGTGCTTGAAATGTGTTCTTACGTTATAATAAACCATCAAAGTGTCCCTGAAATTACAACATTTTGGAGTGCAAATTACACTCTTAACATGATGAGATACCAAGTCTCCCACTGACCCCCTCTCTAGAACACCTGCTCTGAGGGCCCCGTCCTATCAGCAGGGTTCCACGTGACCCAGGCACACCTGCACTGCTGCTGTCATAGTTTAACTGTCACCCGCATTAGACCCTGAACCCCTTGAGTACTAGAGTTGGGTCTTATTCATCCTTCTATTCCCAGTGCTCTATACCCAGAAAACGTTCAACAAACATTCCCAAATGACCACATCCTGGTTTATATTGAAATGCTGATTTTAGGTATAATTGCAGGCAGCAACTTGCTCTCCTGGGCCCAGTGTGAAGTCGCTGGTATTTATCTTCCTATTTCCCCAAACTTGGACTTTCTGAAGTCTAGCATGTTTGCCTTACTTCTCAGGGAAAAATATCAATTTAATTTAATTTAATCCATTTTGGGGGAAAGAATTATTTTCAGAATGCCAGAAAACTTAAGTACCAACTGATTTAAGAAGGTAGAAAAATGTACCAGAAGAGCGAGACTCATGCTTAAAAGCCTCTTTCTACTGCTGTCCACTAGATGTGGCTTACTGACCGGGTAGAGGCTGCCCCCCAGGGGGAACCCGTGGCCTCAGGGCCACATCTGGCCTTCTGGATTCTTGAGTGTAGCTTTTTACTGAATCCAAATTTTACGGAACAAATTCTTTTAATAAAGGAAGTTTGGATTTGGTCAAGGGGCTGTGGATCTGGAGGGCCACATGTGTCCTTGAAGCTGCAGCTCCCCCGGCCCCAAGAAGAGTTCACTGCCTTGCCCAAACCCTGGCTCCTGCCTTTAGCAATCACTGGCAGCATAATCTCAGACAAGTGCCTGATCTCTCTGAGCGGAGTGGTTTTCTTTTGGGGGGGTAACCTGGGGATAAGGATAAGAGCTACACCATCAAACGTGACTAAGAAGATTAAAGGAGGTAGCGCACGCAGAGCACGCAGGAGACACTCGGGACCCTCCAAGTTCTCATTAAGTGCCATTCACGAGAGGACACAGGCACCACCCGGAGCGCCAGTCTCCTTGACAGGCGGGTTTGATGGACCTTGTTCTAATGTGATAAAGAAATGGAAAAAAAGGAGTCATCATAGCACAGTGAGCAGGCAAAACCATAATGGAAGAGGTAGGGGGATACTGCAGAAGAAGGATACGGGGACAGGAGAGGGGAAGCTTCTCTAAGGCCAGCTCCTTGTCTGCCTCACTCACTGCCCAGCACCGTCCTTGGCACAGAGCAGATGGATATTTATCTGCTGAGCAAATGGGTGAAGGGATGGGGAGGGCAAGTGAGCAGATTTTCTACTTCCGACTTCTTCGCTGGACTTCCATTAACTTTCTGCAATGCAGTAAGAACACAGGCCAGGGCTCCGGACAGGCCTGAACTCAATCTGGATCTGCCCCTGACTTATGAGCGCCTCTGGGCAAGTGATTTAGCTTCTCTCAATCTCAGTTTCTTTATCTATAAAACTGTATTTTGCAGAATGGTTGTGAGCATTAGAGATGAAGTATGGGCCTGGTGTGTAATTTGATGTTCAGTAAATGGCAATGATTACTGTGACTGTGTTGTTACTCCCAAAGAAAAGTGCCTGGGAGAAAGAGCAGTGGGCTGAGAATGAGGAAACTTGACCTCTAATCCTCTAACCAGCTCCCTGTGTAACCTGAGCAGGTCATATCTCTGGGTCTATGTTCCAGTTTATTAAAGGGCAGTGCCATTCAGGCTGTTTTCTACCACCTGGGGAAGATGTGGGCACCAGAAGATAATAGGAAGTTAGGGCACTAAAGTTTCAAGTAAAATAGTAATGTTTACTGAAGCTAATCATGGCTTTTACTACATGATCAGAAGCAAACTAAGGCAACCAAGTAGAGGCAATGTCACCAAGACTCATGATACCCCTGAAGAGAAATAATAGCTTCAGTCCACAGATGCCGTAAAGAGAAATTCATTTGCCAAATCGATGTCACACACACAAAAAAACAAAACACACACAGCAGGAGTGACAACATTCGACACAATCCCACTTCAAATCCATAAACATAAAACATCCTTCCCTGTCTTCCCAGACCATCCAACCCCCAGCACAGAATTGATTAGGAGTGATTTTCCAATTGGAGGAAAAGGAAAAACACATTTAATGCTATCTGCTAGAGCGGATTTCTTTCTTCCCTATAATGAAATCCAGTGATAAGAGCTAAAAATTAAACTGTAGCTGAATATTAGAGGAAGAAACAGTGACAGCCCTGGCAATGACCTTGTAACACTCAGCATTAAAGTAAATCCGGTGGAAAATGAGGTCCTGATGATCCACAGGAGCCGCAGGGAGAGGGACGCTGGGTGAACAGAGCATGCCAGCACATTTCAAAGCTCAGTGACTCACAGATGTGGTAGAAGTGAGAGCTGTAATTACATCCGCTGGAAGGAAGAAAACAAACCCAGGCTTTCAGGATCCACAGACCTCCTAACCAACATATCAAATTTCAACACAGGAAAACTTAGCCATGATGCACTGCCACTCTGAAGGCTGATTCCCCAGGATAGGGATAAAAATAATACTAGGGATGCAGGATATAAAGCCTTCCAGACCACACACAAAGCCATGGACAGTCACAGAAGCCTGAGCTCTACTCGAGCTATTCTCTGCAATAACTAAGATCCTGAAATTGAAATCCTAACATTTCTTTT